CAGGGCTGGGGAAGACCAGGATCCAGCTCTCCCAGCCTCCCAAACCACACGTTTTGGTGTTTTTCCCCATATAAAACATCGGGAATGGCAGGTTGGGACCGTCACCGGCGAGGTGACGGAGGGAAGCAGCAGCCCTGGAGCTCACCTTGACTGTCAATAACGCTCTGCACCACCTCCTCCAGCCCCACCATGTAGATGAACTCGCTGTTGGCTGCGCTGGGGAGGAAATGCAGGAGGGGAGCGGGGGGCTTTGGGGGGGGGACAACAATGCACCCACAGAAACTGGTTTTCAGGGTCCTACCCCAGGATTTATGCAGCACCATCACGTAGTGCCGGTTTCTGTGCAAGTACACAACTTGTATAGATGGAGCTGAAGAGATCAACCGTGCTGAACACTGCTTCCGCAGGGCAAGTTTGGCGGCTGCCTGGGAATTGGCGGCGTCGTTCAAAGCACTGGGGCTGGGGAGAGGGGATGACACCCTGTTCACGGAGCCAGGCTGGATGTGGGAGGCAAGGTTCATGTAGATGGCTGAGGACGACGTCCGCTGGCAAGGAACAGAAGAACTGGATTGCTGGGGAGGAAGAGGAGAGGAGGGTCAGGATGGAGCCATGGAGACAGCCCCAAGCACAGCCCTAAACCCCTTTGGGTGAGACACATCCCCTCGCACAACCCTGCCTCTGCCTGTTCCCGAAGGGAGCTCACTGTGGTGCCTGTAACACAGCACTGAGGAGCTTCCAGAGCACTGGAATCTCATGCCTGGTGCAGGGCGGGAATGGCCCCGGTGAGCGTAGGCGCTTCACACTCACGTCGAGTTCTGCTCCTCCACCTCTTGCTTCTGCTCTGGCAGGCGCCCAGGCAGCAGCCCCGCTGCCAGATGGTGCCCGTCCCCTCCCACCCGGCCTTCCCAACGTGCCAATTCCCTCCTCTCCCATTCCCAGCAGCTCCCGGGATGCGCAGAGCCTCCGGCACATGACGGCAATGCAGCACAAAGCCTTCTGCTGACCCGAGGATGCGGCTTTCTCTGACAAGAAGCCATCAGCCTGCAACCTAGTTAAGGCCAGCCTGTGGCCCAGCCCATGTGCCTCCCTCCCTGCACCTCCCTGCATGGAAAGGGGAACATCCCAACCCCTCACCAGCCCTCCAGGGGCAGGGGGAACACGTTTGTGTGGATTGGGAATAACACAGCGAGGACAGCCCCAGTTTTCTCTATTAGGGACACTGAGACTGGAAGAAAATCTCAGTCCCAGGCTAATCCCAAGGCAGTTGCTCTAATGCAGGTGCAGGGAAAGGAATGGCAGAGCTGAGCAGGGATAGCTCCTGCCAACCTCAGTAGTGAATTCACACCAAGGAACATACAGCTCCTCCAGGGGGAGGAGCTGGGGTGGGTTTTGGTACTCAAATGTGCCATTAGGTTTGTGTGACCCTTGTTCGGATGCAGGAGTCTCAGTGTCAGGTTTATCACGAACCCTCTGCTGCCCCGAGAGGAGTTAAGAGAGCTCCTTAACAGCCAGGGAACACCCAGCCAAAGGGCTGAGAAGGCTCCTTAAGGGGAGACCTTAGAGCAGCTCCAGTGCCTAAAAGGGCTCCAGGAGACCTAGAGAGGGGCTTTGGACAAGGGAGGGAGGGACAGGATGAGCTTTAAGGTCCTTTCCAACCCAAACCCTTCCACGATTCTATGATCTATCATTTCATCCTTCCACGCAGGCCAAGACCACCCATCCTCAGCCACACTTTGGGATGTGTTTCCAACTACAGCCTTCACCCTGATGCCTCCGTGCTGAGCTCTGAGCACCTCGGGGACACCCCTCAGAGCCACAGGGCCCCTCCTGCCCCCCCAAGGCAGGGGCCCAGCAGTAACCTACCGGCTGGTAGTTGATGGCTGGATTCATGCTCGGAGTTGTCGTGCGGATGAGGCCGGGCTTTGGAGGAACCCGCTGCCCTTGTAACTGGGCAGGGTTGGGAGCGATCACTCGCTGCGACATCAGCATGTGGGGCAGGGTCGTGTTGGTGGCCGACCTGATGACACTGTGACCCTGAGGGCAAAGGGGGACAAGTGAGAGGCAAGACTTGACGCAGGAGATTCCCATTCCTCGGCAATTCCCGGGAACTCCTAACGCGAGACACGGCTCAAACAGCTCCGGTTTCCCTCTAATTGGCCTTTATTGCCTGGAGGGACAGTGTCTCATGTTCACAGACTCCTGTTTTCTGGAGAGAGGCTGGAATTGCGCCTGAGACAAGGAAAGGGGCAGGGATCTCATGGAGCAGCTGCGTCCCTGGGACCTCCAGGAGCTGGGATGGGATGGTTTGGAAGTTGTTTTCAAGACCCACATTCTTGGCCTATCTTTGCATTAAAAACAAGCCCATCCCTGGCAGTGTTCAAGGCCAGGCTGGATGGGGTTTTGAGTGGAAGCTGTCCCTGCCCATGGCAGGGGGTTGGAGCTGGATGAGCTTTAAGGTCCTTTCCATCCCAAACCATTCCATGGTTCTGTGATTGTGAGTTAATCCATATGGAGAAACACAAGGGAAAAGGGAACTGAGGAGCACGGAGGCTGTTTGCCTCCTATTACAACCAGGATTCACACCAGTGCCAGAGTTCCACATGGGATGGTAGTGAGAGTGCTGCTAACAGGGAGATGGAGCTTGCCTTGGGTGCAGGACTGCAGAGGCGTCACACACCTCAATCCCAAGCAGTCCAAAACATGACTCTGGGATTGGGAAGAGCCGGAGCAGAGGCTGAGCCAGGGCTTGACCTGCGCAGGCTTCTCCTGACGGCTCCAAGGGGGGGCGGCTCCAAGGGGGGAAGGCAGGTCTGACAGCTCAATTCATCCAGCCCAAAGCATGGAACACCTCCTGCCTGACAGCCTTTCCCTCCCCTTCCCCTTCATTTGGTTCCCGAGATGAGGTTCGTGCTGTCACCCAGAAGAAAAGGCTCACAAAGCCCGGGCAAACAATGAGTTTCCTCTCCTCCTAAAGCCCGTTTCCTTTACCAGCCCCATCCCACTGCGCAGCCACAAAAGGCCTGACCCCGGCTCGTTGCCATAGCAAAGCAAACAAGTGCCACAAACAAAGGAGATGGTTAATGCAGGGAGGCCAGACTGAGCCCCACGGGACCGAGGGAGAGCTGCCGGCAGGGGGACGTGGTGGAGAACCACCTCCCGCCTCATCCCACCAGTCCGCCTCCCTGCGGTCTGGCGCCTCAGCATCCCGCCTCGCTGCAGCTTCGGCTCTCCCAACGGACATGCAAGAAATGAAGCCAGAGAAAGGATAAAGCCCGTTCCCAGAGCTCATGGAACCATATCCCAAGGTGGTGGGAGCAAGCACCAGGACACAGAGCCCAGCACAGGGCTCCTGCTGTTGGCTTCTAGTTTGCCCCTCAGCTGTGCCCTGTGGAGAAGGCTCCTGAAGGGGAGACCTTAGAGCAGCTCCAGGGCCTAAAGGGGCTCCAGGAAACCTGGAGAGGGGGTTTGGACAAGGGATGGAGGGACAGGACAAGGGGAATGGCTTGAACCTGCCAGAGGGGAGATTGATTCCATGATTCTATGATCAGCTTCTTAGATGAGAGAGAACTTCCCAGCCCATCTATGGGTCACCAGACTGGTCCCCTCATGGTGCTGAGAAATCACCAGCACCTTGGAGAAAGCATCTCAGCTTGGCCAGAGACCTGTGCCCAGAGAAGTGGTGTTGGGAAGCCTCACCTGTAATGTCCTTAAGTTCTGAGGCTCGACCCCCTGAGCTCCAGGCCTGGAGGGCAGCTTGGACAGTCCCTGCTGTCCCACATGAGCAGGAGATGGCTGGACAATAGACGCCGCATTCTGGACAACTGGGGTCTGGGTGGAGACAAAAGGAGAGCTGTCATCAGCACGTGGGGCCAGGACCAAGCCCCTTCCCCTCGTCCCCCCCAGCCCCAGAGGCTGCTGCTCAGAGCTTCACCTTCTGCACCACGTTCTCCTTTTGCAGCTGACTTTGCCTCAGCTTCTTCAGCAACACCAGCCTGGCCTCCTCCAGCCGGAGCTCATCCCGGAGCTGCTTGATCAGCTGCTGCCGCTCCTCTATGCTCTTCCCCTGCAAAGAGACCCCAAAGGAGCCCAAACCCCAAGAGCTGAAACCTGCTGCTTGTGTCTTGCTGTCAAAAAGAGCACGAGGAAGCTTTAATCCAAGCACTTGTCCCATGGATAACCATGGATGGAAGAGCCAGATGGTTACACCCCGATGTCACCACTCAGAACCCCCCCTTGGCTCCCCACTCTTCCAGAGCAGCAGCCCTGCAGTGGAGCAGCCACTGGGAAAGGCAGGATCCTCCTTACCTTGAACATCTCCAGGTTTGCTGCCTTGAGGCGTTCCTCCATGCGGGAGCTGGAACGGGGGCTGGATGCCTCATTGTCCGAGAGGACAATGATGTCTGGGGAAGGGGTTAATCGGCCTCTGTCCTCACTGTGGGACAGAAAGGGGGGAAAAGGACAAGAATTGAGCCATTACAATGAGCCATGAGCCAAATCCGGGGTGGAACACCCCCCCCCGCCCCACCATGGATGTGAACTGGGGCTCAGCACCACTCTCCACGCCTGCAGAGACAACCAGCACCAATGGAGCTGGGATGGAAGAAGGGAAAAGCCACGTTGGGAAGTGGTTTCCTGCCCAGGTGGGTTGTCTGAAGCAAAGCTCATCTGCCAGAGGAGCGCTGGGGGTGTGGAGGGAGGGACCAGGGTGCTGGGATGAGAGGGGATGGGGGGGACACGCTGGTGCTGTTCATCCTCACCACGAAGCAGGAGATGAGAGCAGGCTTAACCTCCCCAGCTACCACAAACACCAATACTTCAGGCCTATCTCCATAGAAATCCACTTGGAAAGGTCATTCCAGAAAGGAAAATCTCACTAAATACCCAACACAGAGTCAAAAGAGCCAATGGAACCGTGACCTAGAAATCAGTGCATGGAAGGAGCAGCAGCAACAGCCCAAAGCTGGGGGGGGAACATGGACATGAGACAAAACCAGTGCTGCACCACGCTGGATTTCCATCGTTCCGAAGAAGGACACACGAATAAAAGCCTTTTGCTATCCCAAATGTAAGGAAATGGTGCTTGGAAAGCCTTGGGAAGCGCTCACTAGTCCAGTGTGAAGCAGCACAAGCACTGAGGCAGAGGGACTTAGCACCACTGAAGGTCTTTGCTCTGAGGCCGCAGCAGGAGATGCACAGATGATGTGATTCCCAAGCTTTTCGCTTCCAAGAGGAAGCCCGGAGCTGAATCCCAGCTCCCAGGCTCGGCTGCTCTGAGGGCAGTGGGATGCTCGGAGCGGGAATCTGGCTCCCAGCGGGTTTCACCTCCAGCAGCTTCATCTCCCAACCGTTACAGGCAGTTGCATGGAATTTCAGTGCACATCCACTGCAAACCCCTCCAGCACGGAATTCCCAGCTGGAAAACCCCAGCAGGGTGGCTCCAGCCCATCAAACCAAGAGGAGGAGTCACAGCAAGCCCCAGACGTGGCTCTGCAGGGTGGTGGTTCGTGGATGCAGCACTTCAGAGCCCTCATAAGCTCTTTGTGGGCCAGTCCATCCATCCAAACCATCCCGCATCCCAGTGGTTTCCATTCAGTTTTCCAGGAGCTGCTGTTGGCTGAGTCTTTGCCACTCGGGAATGAGCATGTCCTCACACAACCCCGGGTCAGCCCCCAGCCCCCATTCCCAAACGGAGCTTCAAATGCCAACGAACACCATGAGGACCAAGCCTCAGGCAGGGCTGCACGTTCAACTACAGCAGGGTTGGGATTTTCCCTGTCAGTGCTGCTGACATGGATCCTGCAGGAAGCAAAGCCAGGCCTTGGGATGCGCTTCCATTGAGGAAGAGCATCCCAAACTCTTGGGTTAGAGGGACTGAAGGCAACTAAGCCTTGAGCACAACGGGGTTTCTTCCTCCTCTCACATCCTTGGACACATCTCAGGGATACCTGGAGCATCACATTTGGGTTCTGGCTTTTCCCAAGTGCAAATTGTGGGTATGGGACACGCATCCGGATACGTCAGACGGGGAATTCCATGGAGGGGGAATAAAGCAAAGACAGAGTGGAGCCCGGAGAGGGGAGAACAGAGGGGACCTGCACAGAGCTGCTCACCAAGGGCTGCTTCATCCCCTTCTGCCACGGGAAGGGCAGGATCACAACAGAATTCCTGGAAGCAGAGTGGAGCTGAGCAGGAAGAGGATGTGGAGAACATTCCCAAGCAAATTCCAGCTCAGTGCCCCCTCATCAGCTGGTCTGGAAAATTATCCCCCCCTAACTCGACGTGCTGGTACCCAACTGGATGTGCTGGAATCTCACTGGATGTGCTAGAATCCAACTGGATGTGCTGGTACCCCACTGGATGTACTGGAATCC